TCCTATGGGTATGATCATATACGGTTGTTCGTAAGAATATTCTAAGAATATGCTAAGAATCTCAATGGTAATGGCACATACCATCCTCCAAACCAACACTTTGACCCTGAATCAAGCTGATTCAGAAGTCCCTGGAGCAGCTCCCAACCATAGGGGGTTGGGGATTCGCTCCTATGATTGGGGTTGATGGTTTTTAATAACCTTTTAATACAGTCTTAATTGGTAGGGAGGTTACCTTAAGCTCCCATGAGTGATAAATCTGATGGGTAGATTATTGATGGGGGGATGCCACATATTATGATTTCATCGCCGTAGAATTGTGAGTTGACCACCAAACACGGGAAATGAAGCAACAAGAAGGGTGAATTGTTTCGCACCAATAAGCATCTAAGCAGCCAATACAGGGATGTCACTGATTGTATTAGGAGGATCCAACAATTAATTATTTGAGCAAATGACCAATGACTTGGGATGTAGCTGCTATCAAGTCCAGTTTTGGAACAGGGTCATTGCACAGGGCAGTCCACGTCACTGGAATTCATTCCACAGAAGCCACTTGACACAGATTTCTGTAGGTGTAGTCCATCCCAAGAAACTGAAAACATCTGCAAACCATATTTTACATGTAAAAATATAATCCCGAACATTGACGTTTTAACATTGAGAAATGCAAATCGAAACAGGATTCTGCACCCATCCGTTCTTATAGAAAAGTAGACCATTCACATGAGAAACTTTAGATCTGGGTAAATTGTAATATTTCACTAACCTGAATTAAGGCCATTTGGGGATGATTCCCCTTATTAACCCAGTTATAATTTACCCAGTTAGATGCACTTCAAACTTTCAATGTTTAGCAGGCATCATACTGTGACGACGTGAACCGAGATGTTATGCACCCAAAAGCAAACAGATGGAATCATCCGGGGAATTAGGAGAAAAGCTATATCATTTATATCATCAAATCGTAATCAACTTTTTTTGATTTAGGGATTTTAGGGGCACACTAGTTCATAGAATCTATGAACTACAGTAGAAGTGTGCCCCTAAATCCACATGTTGACTACGATTAGATTAGCCCATCGGCAAAAGATTATCCAAGCTATACCCAGTTCAATGGCCATTTTAGGAACCTACATTGGAGGTACCTACCATATATAAGGCCTATGTAAGGCCTATGTAAGGGAATATCCCCACAAAATATGGCCTTATATGGTACAGTACCTGCATTTTAGGATCCTGAAATTCCCATTGACCAGTGGCCTCACTCCTGACGTTGTAGGTATCTACCTCCCTCTCAGTGGGCCTTGGCGCAACTGGGTCAATTCGCTCTGGTAGAACACGAAAAACCCTCCGTGTCAAACATGGCCATTTATAGATGATTTTCCCAGCAATGTATATATATATATATATATGTATATATATATATATCATAATATATGTATGTATGTATATATATATCAACCTTGATTTACACGTGATTTCCCGTTTACTTTTGGATGCTCATCAAAAAAAAACATGGTTTAGTAGATTTCGATCCATTCTCACATCCCAATTTTTGGCTTGTTTGGTACTGATCCCTACTTACGTGTTTGGACATCAATACACGCCATTTGAGGATCAAACAAGACTTTGAACAGAAACACAGAGCACAATTGCTGCATGGGGCAAACCCACTAAAGGAACCCAAAAAGAATGCCCAAATTATGATAACTCACTTTTGTTCGCCTGACAGGTCATTTGGGGATACTTACCCCTTACTAATCCTTACTATACATCATTCCAGTTCCCATTTTGTTCTATCCTCACCTTTGATGGTCAACTCTCCCATTCGTGTAGCCATGGAATTTCCATGGAATTTTTCCATGAATTACCACCTCCCCGAGCGAGTCACTGGAGTCAGAATCCATATTCAGAATCCATATTCAGCGGATGGCAGCCGTCAATCAGTAACAGGTTTATACCATAATAAAAGGGTGATTTGGCGTCTGGCTTCTTGTTGGGTTTCCCACATTAACCGCAAGTTACTTATATACTATTTCTGGTTGGTGGTATACCAACCCCTCTGAAAAATCATGGAGTTCGTCAGTTGGGATGATGAGAATGATGAGATTCCCAATATTAATGGAAAATAAAAGCCATGTTCCAAACCACCAACCAGAGGTTATACAGCCAGATACAGCCAGCCAATGCCGTGAGAATTTGACTGAGGTGGGCACAATCGATCACTTTGCTCGAGGCACCATCTGGTTGATTCTCCTTTCGCGTATCCCATTGTGATGGGGTCACCGAAACCAGTTGCATTTTTGGCGATATGGTCACACACCCCTCCAGAACGCCCCCGAATGCATTGCAATACGTTCACTTCATCTGCTTCGCCCCATCATCTGCTTCACCCTTTCATTACATTGAATACGATTCTTTCCGTGCGACCATCAAAATGCTGAAGGAGCTCCGGCTCTGTTGATAACGCGCAGGCCAAATCAGAAAATCAATGCGCCGTGCTTGCCAGCACCTTCGTTTCTTTCCCTGACGCTGTTACCCATAGGATCCATGTATGGTATATATGCTAACATTGGGGGTATATTGATGGTAAATGTCACCATATATAGCATACATGGATCCTATGGGTTATACATGAGTATCGCACACACTGCGTCTTGTGACACGAACGGATGCTGTGAGTCTTGCACTCGCTTGGCCATGCACCTCCCGAAGGTTCATTTCATCATTCATCAACGCGACTCTGTGCCAGCCAAGTCTCCACACCTTGCAACATAACAAAACAACAATCAACAATGTTTCATCCACTACACTGAAATGCCCCACCCCACCCTGGGGACCCTGTCTGCTGCGGTTTCACCCCTATGTTACTTGTAGATACTTTAGCATGGTAAAGCACATGTGGACGCAATACCCCTTCTAAGTGTGGAATTATTTACATTTAGTCACAGACACATCATATTGTATGGACATTATGATATACATTGAATTAGTTATATTAGGCCTTAAGTTATTGTTGATATATGATGGTGTAGACCTGAGTCAAAACAGGTCACGCATGCTTAATGTATCTCTTCACCATGGGTGACAGGCTTCCTGTGCTATTGCAGAACGATGCAGATTGAACAACATGGAAGGGGAACGCACAAGAAATCCCGGCAATCCAACTGGTCGCCATATTGACTACGGAGATTATCCAAGCACGAAGAGAAAAGGTGAAATGCTTCCAGAAGAAGTGAATATGTCCGCAATCGAGGCAATCCAACAAAGCGGAACATTGATTCCTTTGAGAGTCGTGAGCGTCTAATCGGGGCATAGTGCACAGGTTCTTTACGACTTTCCTTTCAACACATCCATTTTCATACAGCAGTGACAGCGAAAAAAACATGAACAAACTATATGTGTTTTATGTGTGCTGCCCCTGACATGATTGCTCGCCAAAGATCCTACTTCATGCTCTGCTCTCATGACATTTGGTTATGAGTATTAGTCTGAGCAAGTTTGATGGCTGACGCAACATTTGGTTGTGAGCATCAATCGAAGCAAGCTTTGCAATGCCCGGGACAAAAATACATGCTGCTAGTCGCGTGCGCTCTGTTGTTTTCTGTCACCTGTTCTGCATAGGTTTCACAATTCATGCATAGAATTGTAAAATCATAAGTCAAATTTAGGGACTTAGAAGGAAATATATTTTTGAACTGTTTTTACTGTAAATACCACTGAAATATGTATTTGGGGAGGGGTTCTGGGGGGGTGGGTGAGCATATATATATATAATATACACATATACATATATATATATATCTATATATAAAGGGCTTTAAAGTCAAAGTTTACAGCAAAGTCGGGTTCAAACACGGCACAAACAAGTTGTGTTGTTCAAACCAAGTGACTTGAGTTTCCATGCCCAGTCAAGATCCCAGAGTTTCCGGCAGAAAATACGGTTGAAACATCAGGACACTCACTATTTGAATTTGGGGGTAAAAATTTAAACACCATGATTTCAACCGTAGATTTTCCCAACAAAGCCAATCCATTAAAACATTGTTTTTGTATGTTCTTTGTATTGTAGCATCAAAAATAGAACCCGCGAACCCCCATTGAATTAGCCAAAACACAACTAAACACCACTAAACATAATTAATAGTTAAACCATATATCAAAAAGAACTTTTAAAACCTCCAAACAAAACACCTCCCCACTCCTTCAGAATCGTCGACTTTGGCGCAGCTGCTGGCAGACCACCCCCTGGCGGAACGCACGTTTCCACAGCTTTAAAGATTAGTGGCTCACTACAGCAAAACAATCAACGGGGGGCTAACCATCAAAAATGATTCCCGGATCCAATCATCTCATGAGGAGAGTATTTTCAGGCCAATACTCTGGTGAGAATGTGACTGGAACATACCCCATAGGATCCATGTATGCTATATATGGTGACATTTACCATCAATATACCCCCAATGTTAGCATATATATATATATACCATACATGGATCCTATGGGTACTGGAACCCCCAATTCTGCGTTTTCAGAACTGGATTGGATACCTAGAAAATCCTAGAAATCCCCCTATGTAGATTGGGATCTCGACCCAGCAAAATCTGTCGGTTACCATGTGTCGCTTACCCCGGTGGTTAACCATCCGTGGTGCAGATCATCCATCATCAGCGGCCCCCGAGGTGGCTGCAGGTGACCCATCTCTTTCCGCGTGGCCGAACGCATAAAACATCGCAACTCATCGCCGGAAGGATGGAAGGTATTGGAGCTGTTGGACCTGTTGGGCCTGTTGGATGCTTCAAAGTTGAGTCAAGCTGAGAAATATATTCTGAAAGTAAATCCATAGCAATCTACAGCACCTGTACCTCAGGTAATAGTCTAAAGATGAGTGCATGATATTAGATGTATCACGGTACATTTAACACACAGCGTATCAATGGATCCTGAGTCCAGTTGATTCCTGCCATGAAACAGCAGTTATCAAGTTCCTGAGGGCTGTCCCATTTCGAAGGGGGCCACTGAAAACCTGGATGATTCTGGTCCCCGACGTGATCACCAGCTGCCGGAAAGTTTCCATCCACGCATCCGACATGCAACAGGTTTTCCTATGCACATCACGCAGGACCTTGGTAGAGAAACACAGGGAATTCCGAGTTGTCTCTTGGTCTGGTGAGAGCATGCATTCTATACACATTTACGTACAGGTTTACTTGTACGTGGCAGTTTAACAGTGATCACTTTAGGGTTTGTTACAGTAAATGATCATTTCAGATGCTAGGAAGGGTACATTGAATAAAATGAAACCTGTATCTGTAAAAACCAAACAAACAGGCGAAATCCCACTATTGCACTAGTATATATATGTACATATATGAGCAATCTCGAAAGCCCTAGGTTCACGGAAAGGACATCCACAAATTTGGGAAGGTCCCATCGCTTACCACACGTTTGTACAATAATGATATGTGGTAAACTTGGGGGGTATCGCTTGCAGGAAACTGCTACATTTTTCTTTATACAATTCACAGACATCAACGTCCAATTTGGGTATCGCTAATGTGGATATTAGAGAAATACAATGACATAACCTTGACAAGGGGTATCGCTAATTTGGGAAGGTCCCATCGCTTACCGTGTGTTTTTAACAATTTCCATCAATTTCCATAAACCAATGTCTGTCCAATACATATTTAGTATTGCCCGGTTTTTTGCGGTGGCTCATATATATATATATACACATAATAATATAATATAATAACAACAATAATAATAGCAATTGTAAATAATAATCATAATAAAACAAATAATAATGATAATGATCATAATAATATATACACCATAAACGTATGAGTGATACTGGGAGCATTCACAAACATAATGTTGAAAACGGCCATGTAGATCTAAGTAGGGGATCTATGCTGATCAAACTATCCAAAATCACACCCTCCAGTAATTTAGAATGGTTTTTAGGATAATTACCGACACAAAACGGTGATGTTCCATACTGGTAGCTATGTTAAAGTGCCACATGGTACCCAGCTTTGCAAACCAACCATTTCCGTGTGCAAAAATGACGTGTAGATTATAGATCCAGTGATTTTCTGGCTAACTGGCCCCCTTGAGTATCTCACCAGTGGAGTCGGTTGGTTCATTTTCATGGAACCAGTTGAATCCACAATTCATCCAACAGTTACCTATACCATACTTGTAAACCAACTCACCTATCGGACCTGGCCCGAAGGAACCCCCCTGCTGAGCTTGCTGCTATGGTTCTCCTGGCTGCAGAAAGTGGAACTGTCTGGTATCTCACTATTGGTCGTAGGTTGTGAGTGTTACAAGATGTTACAAGTACCGTATAGTAAGTTTGAAGTTGTAATACCTCCTGGAACCCCCAAACAACTAGAAAAAACTAGTGCTGGTTTCCTCAAATAATCACATATTATGTAGGGATTATTCAATAAAACGAAAACAAGTCCTTATTGCTTTTTTCGGGAGCTTCTAGGCTGGAACCTGGAACTGTTTGTTCTCTTCTCGTGAAAATGGGCAGCTGATGCGGCAACTCCCCACAGTTCGTTTCAACGTAGATGGCGGCTCTTGCAGCTTTGTTCAGAACAGTCTATCATGCCAAAATCATATCTTTAGAGTCTATATTTATACATATATACACTGTATGTAGCTATACACACACACACGCCAGACATATACATCCCGAATTTAACATGGAACCCCAAAAGTATCAAAAATGCGGTACGGAAAAGAACAACTGTCGAATATGGCCAATTAGGGGGTTCATGTTGAATTGAAGGGTATCCAAGGAATAAGAAGGAATCCAAACAACACAACCGGCATGTCCCTCACGTCTAGGGGGAATCATCTTCCAATTCGTGTTTTTCAGACAGATCTATACAGATCTGCAGCCAGCTCCCATGCGGAAACCAGTTCCGAACACCGTGGAACCGTGGAACCTCGATCGGAAGGAGGTTCTGAAGTTTGAAGGACTTGGAACCGATGCCTCCCACGGAACGATCCAAGGGAATCAAAGTGGTGCCCGGATGCCCCCCCACCATCTTGATTTTGGTCTACGTATTGAATTGTATTGATATACCCTCACTGATCTGTGGACTATCTTACCATGACTTCAACTCGTTGTGGATCCTGTACACGGCCCCAGCGCACAAACAATAGAACATCACGAGTTGCAAAAGAAAAGAACACTGTGTACACTGGATCCAGTAAAGCCCATGAGGTTTCGATCTTTCCATATCTTACCCGAACGGCAGGGAGATGTTTTACGATGCTTTACGTCACCAAATTTGACAGATCAACCACGGGTACTGTACCATTTTTCAGGCCATATTTTGTGGGGATATTCCCTTACATAGGCCTTACATAGGCCTTATATATGGTAGGTACCTCCAATTTAGGATCCTGGAATGGCCATTGAGTTCAGAAAATTATTTTCAGTATCGAATTGGCAATTGGATCATGATGGTCATGGTTACCCCACATTTTTGTTGACAAAGCCAGACACAAATCTCATAGATATTGTTGGTATATCAAGTTGGATGATATCCCCATCATATATCCCCCATCATACACTGTATCTGGATTTCTATGGGTGGTTTATTAAAAAAAAATAAAATCCACTGCAATAAAAAGATAAAGACCATACGGGCTACATCCCAATTTTTGTTGCTCAAGTTCTCATATCATGGACAGTCTGAGATACCCTGAAACAAAAACCTCTGAAATGGCTGGTTTCTGGTTACTCTAGTAGATATCACCATCAAAATTGCAAAAAAACAAGGTGTTTCACTACCCATAGGATCCATGTATGCTATATATATATATGGTAACATGGATCCCATCAATATACCCCCTTTATGTTAGCATATATACCAGCACCATGGATCCTATGGGCTATGCTACAGAAAGGATCAGCACCACCCAGTGATGGACTTGGTCTCTGTTGCTCCATCGAATTAGTTCGATATGTACCCAACAAACATCCAACAGTTATCATATTGTGGTAAACCCAATGCCTCAAAAACCTACCATTTGGGGCTGGTTTATACCAAAAAAAAAGGGTGATTTGGGGTCTGGCTTCTTGTTGGGTTTCCCACATGAACCGCAAGTTACCTATATATCATATCTGGTTGGTGGTGTCAACCCGTGGTATACCTACCCCTCTGAAAAATCATGGAGTGAAAGTCAGTTGGGATTTGATGAGATTCCCAATATTAATGGAAAGTCATAAAATTCCATGGTTCCAAACCACCAACCAGGTAAGTTACCTAATGTCAACCCAGGATTAATAAACCATAGTTTATTAATTAGGGTGGTACTCCTCCAATAGTGATAATCCAATACTTAAATGGTACCCCCCCCCAATTAAACGGCCTAAGGGTTTATTAATCCAGGGTTGACATTATATGTGACCTATCCGTTTAAGGTGCCCTGGACCGGTCCCACCGTTTGGTTTAACCTCGGCCGTCGCCGCGTCGCCTGGCATTCGGACACTGTATCGTCCCTCGCCAACATCGCCCTGGGGCGGTTTTTTTTCGACGCCGTTCTCAGAAGGGTAGGTGTTGAAACGAATCTTTGGGGGAAAAACCCTACAATGTGAGGCCCCCCAGTTATAAGTTGGTTTATAAGCCCCAGTAACTATAGTTATATCTGCCATAAACCATAGTTATGGGAGTTATAAACCAACTTAGCTAACTATGGGGCACCACCTTGTACCAATACCTACCATTTTTAATGGGCAAATCCATGTAAATCCACTTTTTCATGGCAATTTTCAATAGCTATGTTAAATTACCGGAGGGTAATTTCTGCTTGGTGGTTTCAACCATCTTGAAAAATATGAAAGTCAATGGGAAGGATTATCCCATATATTATGGAAAATAAAAAAATGTTTGAAACCACCAATCAGAATAGCATATATAGAGAAAAAAGGAAGTCCATGTGGTCTAATGATTCTAATGGCCATCCTTCAAGTGTACAACCGTGAGATCCATATGGTAGTCCTGGTCTCTGGTAGTTTTCAAACATTTTGTGGTATGGGATTCGCAGGAGATATGGTGAGTTTCTCAACGTTCTGAGTGGGAAAGAAAGAGATGACAAGTGGGGGCAAGGCAGCTGCAAAGCCAAAACAATGACGGCCTTTGCAATTTTTTTTGGGAGAGGTTTAGAGGTTTGACAGCAAGAAAGTTGAAACTACAGGACTTCACCCAATCGGTGCCTCTTTGGGGTTTTTCATCAGTCCGCTTGGGAAAAAGCCCCATCCCCATAGGGCCCATAGGATGTAAGAGGCGCCTCCACAGTTCCTTCCAGGCCGTTGAATTTCTGCCCCGCCTCACCTGAGCACTTCTGCCAAAAAACTGAAGTGGCTATGGATAAATAGCTATAGCTACCATGGGGGCCATGAACATCCAGCCATACCAGCTATTTTGAAGGAGTACAGCTGCGTCTATCCTACCTGATGTCAATCACGTGTCTGTTTGTTTTGTTGCATCATTTCCTAATCCATCATTCTACTGGTACATGTGTATAATTCTATCCAGACTTTGAACTACCAATCCACTTTTTTGTCCCTCACTCTCTCCCCCCATCAGCCTGTGCGTCCATGTTTTTCTTGCTTGCGCTACAGGAAGTACAGAATCCATTTCACCCATTGTTTCTAGTAGACGTTTCTACCTTCGCCAAGAGCACATCTGACAGGGATATGCAGTGCTGCAGCATCCAGAAAGAAACATCTGAGCCGTCCCACTCTCCAAGCCACAGACCTACTTGATGCGTGGGTCAAAGACCAACTTAGTCGGTTGGAAAGTCCCTAAACTACAATGTGAGGCCCCCCAGTTATAAGTTGGTTTATAAGCCCCATTAACTATAGTTATAAGTACCATAAATCATAGTTATTGAAGTTATAAACCAACTTAGCTATCTTGGGGGCCTCACATTGTAGGTTACCCTCTGTCCACCCGGAAATACCCTCCGGGAATCAAACAGGGGTGAACATCGTCGAACTAGACAAAAAATCAGGGACTTTTCAGCAAAGCATGTCTGATTACCAGAGGGTAACTTCAATGGATTGGTTTAAGGGAAAATCTACAGGAAACCATGGTTTTTACCATCAAATATAGGTTTCCTGTAAATTTTCCCGTCATCCAATTCTGTGATAACTGTGACTTTGAAATGAGTATTTTTCGAAACCTCGAAACCAGCAAGAATTGAGCAGCTTAAATGACTTGCAAACGGCGAAATGAACGCTATGTTTGGTAATGAACGAATAACTCCAAGATAACATATGGACATATACGGATGATACAATAATATTATATAAAATAATAAGTTCCACTATGTTCCAATCATGAATCCTATTATATAACAGAATCCTGACACGTTCTGATGATCATCCCATCGATTCCGCCATGCTTTCTGTGAAACATTCTCGGCTGGATCTTTTGTGAAGACACAGCCCCAGCTGTGATTTTGATCTAAACATTGGAACCGCTAGTCTCAATCATGTCCAATTGGGCATGGTTCATAGTCTCAGATTTGGCACTTCATACCTCAACAACTTTGATCGTCCCCATCTCAGTTGTATTGTCCCACCATGCCCGCCCAATGTTGGTGGGCAACCAGCTTTTGTAAAAAAAATGTCAATCCACATTTCATCATGCTTCATCCTAGATACTCTGCAACAAAGAAAAACTGGCATGTCAGTCCTCATCTCTCGTTCAAAATCAGACCAGTCCCCTCACTAGAGATGGAAATTCCAGCGTGGAAGTAGAAGATGTCCGGACAGGAATATATATATATATATTTATATATATATAGTGTATATATATATATATGTATATATAGTATATATATATATACATTAACATAGAATATCAAAGATATAATACATACATGAACACAAACCCATGGAGCCATGGATTCCCGCCTTCACGCGTTGCCCTGCCAAGAGGAAGCCGTGGTTGGGCCCCGTCACCACAGTTGGGGCGCTCCGGACAGGAGCTTGGCCTCTGGATAGTCCACATAGCTTGACATCTTTTTTCAGGTGGTGAATTTTTCATGATACTGTGAATGGTTCAGAAATCCGAATCACCAGTTGATAGGTGGTTTTTACATCCCATGATTTTCTTTGGGTTTCAACCATCCCAAATTGGTGGTTTATCGGATTTCGCTGGCCCATCCACAGTTGATTCAATGGATTGATATGGTTATACCCCCCCAAAAAAAGGGGCCTTGCAGCTGCAGATTTTCATCGATTTTCCCTGATTTTCCAATTCTAGGGATTTCGGGTGAAATTGAAGATGCTTGAACAAAAGGGCCTACCACATGTTTCAGCTGTTGAGAACTCGTATTATCATGTATTATCCGGGTATACCCCATGTACACTCACTGAGATACACATGCAAGTGGGGTGATCACCATAAGAAATGTGGATCTTAGTGCAAACTCGAAGTATGTCGATTGAACATAGGAGCGGCAAAGATGCGTAAAAATACCGCAAACATTGGACTTTGACCAGTAAACAAAAATAACATACCGAACTCTTTCAGTATGCAAAATGTTGGAGTTGAGCTTGGGCATGGGATTTCAAACCACCCGACAGCAACAGTAACTGGGATGTGTATGAAATGCCTTATATACCTTACATGAGCAAAAATGGAAAAACACCATGGACGTTTCAGCTTGGTACCATGGAATTCCACATCCTGGATGGTGAACCTGAAAAATCATTGGTACGTCTGCTTGGCTGCTTGGCAGCTTGGTGAATGTTGATGATTTCAACCCATCCAGCCAACCATGCGTGCACAGTTGGCTGAGTGACTTTCAGCAGTTGGATGTGTAATCTGTAATTTCCGGTTTTTCTTGATCAGTCTGTCAATTTTTGTTGGTCAAACTTCAATTGCTGTTAGTTTCCCCAGCCCTTCTCTTGGTGAAACTCCCATTTGTCTTGGGCAAACTGGAATGCGTTGGTTTCCACATCAATTTCGATATACACTATATTGTTCTACCATCTGGTCATTCAACATAGCCATGGAAAATCACGATTTTTAATAGGTAATCCATCTATAAATGGGCCATCTATACCATGGCTATGTTAAATAACCAGAGGGTACCAATTCAAATCAAATTCACATACAATGTGAGGCCCCCAAGATAGCCAAGTTGGTTTATAACTCCAATAACTATGGTTTAAGGTACTTATAACTATAGTTGCTGGGGCTTATAAACCAACTTAGCTATCTTGGGGGCCTCACATTGTATGTTTGCTGATGAATTCAGCGGTGCATTTTTTTTTCCCGCTGCAGAACATGTCCAAGACTTCCGTCAGACCAAGTGACTTGGATCTGCTGCAGGCAGTCGAACCAAGATGATGGTTTCATTATCGGTACCTGTGGACAATGTCACGTAGGACGGTCCTTGCTAACTTGAGCTAGCACATGGCATTGAATATATACAGCATCTGCATATATATATATAATTATATATATATCAGGTTGTTGCTCTTTTTTTTCCGGAATTCACTTTTTAGACGGACATCTTTGTTTATATTATATGTGTTTGGTGAACAACTCCTGAGCTCCTTGGCTTCCATTTGAAGAGGAACATGGATGCATAATGTCGATCTCCTAACCACCCAATGCTCTATATATCATATCATACATCATTTCATGTCATATCATCGCATGTTACATTACATGAATTTACAAATTATGCATATATATATATAATATTTATATATATGGGCAAATTATAATATTTCACTAACCTGAAATAAGGCTATTTTGGGATAATTTCCCTTACTAACCATGATTATAGTGAGGTCGCCGGTTTCGGTCGTTATACAAGTCGCGCAATTTTTCGCTGGCACCTTCTTCGATGGGCCTCCCGCGAAGTGACCTGCTTCCGCCAAAACCATGGCTTTGAAAACATAAAATGACAACGACGCCGGGATGATTTAGGGGTACATGATTCATGGGTACCATCATTATAAGAAATCCACATGTAGATGTTCATAGATTTTCCATCGTTTGATTGGAAACCTGTGATATCTTGCTTTAGAACGTTTCATAGAAGAGGTAGCCTCAAGATTGCTAGACATCCAACTTTGGGTGCACAATCTTTGCCTGTGACACCAAAAGAAACATACCTGCAAGGCTGAGTTCTCTCACAATATTTTCCTCATCCAGGAAAACAATATCGGTCCGAGTTTGCTTCAACAGAGAATTTCGATTCACAAGAAACAACACACAAGAGAATCTAACAAAAAAACATATTAATAACTTTGGGTTTTATCCACTAACACCTAACATACAATGTGAGGCCCCCCAGTTATAAGTTGGTTTATAAGCCCCAGTAACTATAGTTATAAGTACCATAAACCATAGTTATTGAAGTTACAAACCAACTTAGCTATCTTGGGGGCCTCACATTGTACTGATGGTAGCAAAATCCATAAACATCAACCGGATGGTTGAAACACTGGACCACCTTGCGCAGCACTGGTGAAGAACCTCCGTCCTCAGCCGAAAAAACGAAAAACCTTGCCGCCGTTAAAAACTCTCACCCAGGAGAAATGGGGATAGAATGAAAGATCAAGATGATATATATATATATACATATTATTACGCATATCACCTGCGAAATTGAGTATCCTATTTGTTTAACTGCAATATATCACCAATTCAGATCAATAAACACATGGTCGCTTTAAACTGGCTCTGTTCCCAACATATTCATTACTTTGCATGTTTGGAAAACGTTCAAACAATGCAGCCTCTCACCATATGTACTTGGTTCTAGATTTAAAAATATTTAAAGTAACAAATACTAAGATCTGCGCTTTGAAAAAACTCCACCGGAAGATATGTACCAAATGCCTTTCTATACCAGCAAACCAGCAGAATTAATGCATATGATACGAAAACATCGAATGTCTGCACTTTTCCTGGACATTGCAATTGTCAATGAACCATCCTTGCAAAGAGGTCAAGATGAACGATCAAGCAATGATACCAAAAAGGAGACAACATGTCATAGATCTTGCAGAAACTAAGGATGTGGTGACTGGTCCTAAGATCATATCGAAGAGCTCATCGATCGCAAGTGGTGCAAGATCAGTTTGTCCAACCGTTGGACACTGCGGAAACACACCCAAATACTATGTACACCCTCTGTTATAGTTCCTTCCCCCCCAATAGTTAAATGCCCCCCTCAATACGCGGGTTTAGTCTTGGATAAAAATTATTTGGGGGGCCCTATTTATGGCTGTGTAATTATAGGGTCGTATTCAATATTAGGGTGAAGGGTTTTTCTTGTGATACGTCCTGGTATACCCCCAATTACATCCATTTAAATGGGAAAATTATGATTAACCCTTGGGTTTCGGGGTACACTATTTTCAGACAAAGCCATGTATAGATGATTGTCCCACCATTTTAAATGATTTTCCCATTCGAAATACGGTGAATGGAAGAAATCCTGCACCAGTTGGTAGGTGGGCAAAATATGGCAAAATCCCATTCCAATCTGGGTCAATTATAATATTTCACTCACCTGAATAGTTCGGCCATAAAAGGGGATGATTCCCCTAAAATAAACCATGATTTCCAGTGAGGGAGAACAGTGAGGTCGTTATAATTTACCCATATATATATATATATAGAGTACATACATACATATAGATTATGTCTGGATACATGTGGAATATGGATACATATATAATTTACCCAGATTCCAATCCCAAAATCTACAGCGTTTCATAGGAATCCCCATAGTTGGCCGCCAACACCCAGCGGACCCGATGGACTTGGCCCCGAGCGCAATTTGTTCCAAGGCCTCGCTGAACACGGACTGAATGATGGAGGGGGTATGGCTCAACCGTGGGCTTTATATGGTTTGATATATTTATAAGCATATATGCATATGTATGTATAAATGTATATACTGTATGTATCTATATACTGTCTATATGTATGAATATGTATATATATATATACGTATGTATATTATATATATATGTATGTATATATATATACTGTACATATATATGTGTATACAATGTAATATATATGTTGCATGTGTGCATATTTATGTATATAATTATGTATATATATATATGTATACATACCTACATATTGAACATTATTGAACCATCTGGTCTTTGGGATGCATAAATGAGTCTATGTTTACCTCAAGTGGTTCTAGTTCTTCAACATTGATCCATCCCGTGCTGAGCATCCGACCATCCCCATCTTGACCTTTGGCCAAATCAGGTTCGCAATGTCCTGGCGAAGCGCTGGCCGAGTCTTGCAGCTAATCCACTAACCCAAAAGCATATCATGTCATTCACAAATAGAGGTTTCCATAGGTTTCTCCAGTTTTGGGGCTACCAATGATCCGTAAAATCCGTAAAAAAATCAACCATGGTAGTCTTGAAAACATGTGAAAAGCCATGGTGACGATGCTCCACTGCTGAAACAGCCGCATGGCCTGATTGGAGTTCCGTTCAAAGAGCCCGTCGCAGGCCAAGACTAAAATCTCTGAGGACCTGCAGCATTGCTGCAGCACCAGTTGACAAATTCCTAGGAAAACCACCGGTGATTTTTTGGGGATTCGAATGGTTTTTTTTTGAATGGGATGTGTACCACTGATTTCGCAAACAGGATGTATCGCTATTACATTGACCGTACCTGTATTTTGTATATATATATATGTGTACACACACACTATAAAACAAACTTGGGAAACGTTCCACAAGAAAGGTCATATATGTACTGGGTCAAAGTTGGGGTACCCAAATCATCCAAAATGTGTAGTCCACCCACAAAAACCATTTATGTACTCGGTACGTACAACTATATGTGTAGTGGTTCAACAATGGTGTTGCACTTTTCCAGCAGGAAGCTCGCAACTGAGGTGGTAGAAGGAAAGCACCAGGAAACCTGTTTTTGTAGGGTCAAATACGATTTCCTCGACAAGCAACTTCAACGGCCAATCTATGAGAACATCCTACAAAAATATTTGAAACACAATGACACAATGTCTTTTTCAAAACCCCAATTTTTCTCCCATCCCCCATTGATCGCAACAACAAATCCATGAATCCATTGACTCTCATCAAACTTGGCTCAGAACTGAAATCACCTTAAATTTTCCAGGAACTTAGGGGCCTGAACTACCACGAATGTTTTTTTGTTTGCTAAGGGCTGAACCCACCCTGGAAGGGAGTCTTGGTCACATCCGGCACAGCAATCACCTGGATCTTGCAGCCCGTGAATGAAGATATGCAAAGCAAATCGTATATAATCCAACTTAATTGAAAAAACAAAACACAATGTGGTTTCTGGTGCTATATATTTTATATATGTATTGACGTGACGTATGTTCCCTCATTTTAGGGTCAACTATATGTGTGCCAGCTGATGCCATTCCACCTGCAGGGATTACCATTCCGTTGCGGAGACTTCTCTGATCGCTGCTCAAGGCGCACCTGTTTTACAGATATGTTTTCAGGTATTGTACCGCACAAACAGGCTACAAATGGGCGATATATGTATGTCTACTACTATTATGTACATATATACATATATATATATATATATACATGCATGGAGCCTATGTATATATATATATACATATGTAGGTATGTGACGTATAGTCATCTTGGAGTAGATAGGACATGAACACTTCAAAACATCCTCACTAATGGTAATGATCTTGAAAATCCCATAATCTACGTGAAAATGACTACTATATATCTAATCATAAAACAAAAATAAACATACGTATACCATACCTACCTACCTATCTATCTACGTACCTATCTATCCATCTGTCTATCTATCTATCTACCTATCTATCTACCTATCTACCTATCTATCTATCTATCTATCTATTTATCTATCTATCTATCTATCTATCTATACATTGAATTTCATTTCATTTCATTGCATTGCATGGCATGACATGACATAACATCACATGACATGACATAACATTACATAAAATTACATAGCTTTACATAACATTGCATAACATTGCATAACACTACATAACGTTACATAACATTACATAACAGTATATAACATTACAGGACATTACATTACTTACATACATTGCATATATTACATACATTACATACATTACATACATTACATACATCACATACCATACATTACATACCTTACATACAGTACATACATTACATACATTACATACATTACATACATTACATACATCACATACCTTACATACATTACATACCTTACATACATTACATACATTACATACATTACATACATTACATACATTACATACATTACATACGTTACATACAGTACATACATTACATACGTTACATACATTACATACATATATATATATATATGTATTATACAACAACTAATATGACCATTGATTCTGGATTTGTTTTTGTTGTTTTTAAAACAAAAAACATTATATATATATATACACATGAACATGAATATATATATATATATGTCTACATATGTGTATATATATATGTATAGAAAAGGTACAGAACTGTATGCAGAGACACACACACACATATATATATATATACAAAGAAAACTGCAATCAGTGACACACTAACCCGGCCATGGAACATTCTCTGGTTTAGCTGTCTGTGGAATGCCATGGAACATGGTCCATTTGTAACCATTTATAGATAGATGATTTGATTTACCTATGAAAAAATAGCGAATTTCCATGGCTGTGTTAGATTACCAGAGGGTAAACCACTGCATGTGAGAATCCATAAACAAATAACACATCAAAAGGTTCTTTTTTGGTCACATTCCGTGCGTTGATGACATCAGCAATGCTTGACGCTGGGATGGATTGGAGAATTGTTTCAATGTTCATCAGGTCCAAATTTGGGGGTGTAAAAATTGAAATCACTGAGCCACAAAACATAGCCGATCTTGTAGTCTACAAACTTTATAGAATAAGGAATCTGCCTTGAGTTTCACGAACTTCTGGAAACACGTGCAGCTTGTTCGCGGGATAGTCGCAGCAAAAGCATCTCTTTTCTTCACTGTGAGCGTACAGTCTTTGCATCTTTGTGCAAATGTATGCAAATGTGGTGAATTGTGATAATAAGCACCCTTTATTCCCCAACAGCAGAAGCTTTGGGGTCTTAAGCCATAGTAAAGGTTTCGGAGCAGACCGGAGCAGCTCCAAAACCGATTCCCCCAAGGTTCCCAAGGTTCTCAAGGTTCCCAGCGTTCCCAAGGTTTTTGAAGGTTCCCAAGGTTCCCAAGGTTCCCAAGGTTCCCAAGGTTTTCAAGGTTCCCAAGGTTCCCAAGGTTCCCAAGGTTCCCAAGGTTCCCAAGGTTCCCAAGGTTCCCCAAGGTTTTTCAAGGTTCCCAAGGTTCCCAAGGTTTACAAGGTTCCCAAGGTTTTAAGGTTCTTAAGTTCCCCAAGGTTCCCAAGGTTCCCAAAGTTCCCAAGGTTCCCAAGGTTCCCAAGGTTCCCGAGGTTTACAAGGTTCCCAAGGTTCCCAAGGTCCCCAAGGTCCCCAAGGTTCCCAAGGTTCCTTCCCAAGGTTCCCAAGGTTCCCAAGGTTCCCAAGGTTCCCAAGGTTCCCAAGGTTCCCAAGGTTCCCAAGGTTCCCAAGGTTCCCAAGCAACGTTCATAGGTTGCCAGCACGGTTCCCACGAACATGTTCCCAAGCATGGTTTCAAGTTGTTCATGTTCCCAGGAAGAGCTTTCCAAGAACAACTTGCAAAGCGAAATTTCGAAGACCATCTGCAAGGTTCCCAAGGTTCCCAAAGTTCCCAAGGTTCCCAAGGGTTCCCAAGGTTCCCAAGGTTCAAGAACAGGTTACCAGGCAATGCTCCCAAGAGCAGGTTCCTAAGAATAGGCTCCCAAGAACAGGTTCCCAAGCAAGGTTCCGATAAACAAGTGTCAAGCAATGTGTCCAGGAACAGTTGTCCAGGCAAGGTTCCAAGAACATTGAACAACAGAACGCTGCAAAGTTTGAAGATTTGTTCTAATAACGGAACGGAGAGATTGAAGAACTAGTTTTGCTTCAAAAAAAGATACGGCACTCGCACATGGATAAAACACTAGACGACAGCGTGGCATGAAAGAAGGCAGTAGGGAGGAGACGAGAAGATAATACACGAGAAAAATGATGATGGTGATGATGATGACGACAATGATGATGGCGATGACGATGACGAGGATGAATGGCGATGGAGATGATGATGAATGATAGCTGACGCGAGTCAAATATCATATATCCACGGTTTCGCGTTTAGGGGTTTTTGACCCCACAGAGGGTTTGCTCCAGGGCAGCTTTTACACAGACGCTTTTGCACACAGACGCTTTTGCACACAGAAGCTCTTGCACAGAAAAGCCTTTTCTAAAGAAGCCTTACCACATGAAGCCTTTACACAGAGCAGCTTTACACACAGACGTTTTTTCACAAAGAAGTTTTTACACACAGGAACTTAATGCGCAGATGCCCAAGCTTTTACACACAGGAGCTTTTGCGCACACACGCCTTACAAAAAGAAGCTTTTAGACACGGAAACTTTTACAGCCTTTTCACAAGAAAGCTTTTACACAGAAGCTTTTGCACAGAGATGCCTTTACAAACAGAAGCTTTTACACACAGAAGCTTTTACTCAGAGAAGCCTTTAAACAGAGCAGCTTTTACAGACACAGAAGCTTTTACACAGAGAAGCTTTTGCACAGAGAAGCTTTTTCACAGACAAGCGTTTGCGGGAAGGAACTTTGAGCACAAACGGTTTTTAGATACAGCAGCTTTCACACAGAAAGCTTTTGCGCGGACCAGATTTTACACTCAGGTTTGTTTTCACAGAGCAGCGTTTACGCGGAGCAGCTTTTACACACCGAAGCTTTGACGCAGAGAGGCCTTTACACAGAGAAGCTTGTACAAACAGAAGCTTTTACACACAGACGCCTTCGCACACACACATTAGACAAGAATGGATCTTTGAATAGATCCGTCAGGAACTGAGTCCTGTAGACATGCAGATTAGATGGGAAACAAATTAACCTACGTCGTACCCCTCGAATAATGGAAGTTCTCCCGAATGACGTTCGTGACCTGAATCGACATCAAATAGAACAGATCGAATAAGGATCCAACCAACGAAAGAATAATCGGAGTAGAATTCAGATTGTGACAACCGTGCAAATGTACCATGTCTGTCTTGGAGGTTCTGAGCTTAGCCCCTTGCTGTGCCGAAAAAAATCAAACTGCAGGTACGTCAGGGTGATCAGCCCTCATATCCCATCCAAGACCGTATCTTCGTTGCACACGGTGGGTCAAGGATGCCGTGTGCCCCTGCATTATTATTATTAAGAAAGGGAGAGGAAAGAAGAAAGAAAAAGAGAGAGGTTTTACATCTATTTAGATGTTACACACACACACACAAACCCGGCCGGAGCCGGGTCAACCCTGAAAGGCAAGAGGAAGAAAAAAGCGGACACAGACGACGGGCCAACGACCAAAACAGCGAAGGGGGGGGGAGGGAACAGACGGACCTCCGGAACCAACCTACAGGGCGAAACGGACCTGACAAAAAACAGGGCACACACCTAAACCCCACCACACATTACGGAGAAGCCGCGAGGGGAGGGCAGTTAGGGACCAAATGGGGGACAAGTTGGTAACGAGAGTAAAACAACCAAAACAATTACCTCGACCCAGGACTCAGCTACACTAAACCTAGAGGTCGTGCGTTGCTCCCTTGCTGGGACGGAAGTCAGGTCAGCCACGAGGGCATATAACAGCTTTACGAGTTCCAGTGAATTAGGTGCACAATATGTTCAACCTCACCAAAAACCAAAAAGACCACACCTGCAGGAAAAGGACATGCCTGTAGCCTTCTGTCTTACATGTCATGTTGTATTTCAAAAGCTGAAGCTGCACCAGTAAAAATGAAGGTTTTGGCTGTTCGGACTGGTTTCATTCAGAGAGGAATGCATTCCACAAGGTTCACAAAGGACAGCCGGAGCTGCAAAAAAGTGCATAACAGAAAGCCCAACTGTTTCGCATTACTTAAACGAATTACCAGTTAAAATTTAAAATGTGTAAATTCGGACGTCAAGTCAGTTCTCAGTCACCCACAAAGGGGTTGCCTCCAGTGGCTCCATGGCACCATGTCGGAGCCACCATGGATATTACACTAGACAAGAATGGATCTTTGAATAGATCCGTCAGGAACTGAGTCCTGTAGACATGCAGATTAGATGGGAAACAAATTAACCTACGTCGTACCCCTCGAATAATGGAAGTTCTCCCGAATGACGTTCGTGACCTGAATCGACATCAAATAGAACAGAATAAGGATCCAACCAACGAAAGAATAATCGGAGTAGAATTCAGATTGTGACAACCGTGCAAATGTACCATGTCTGTCTTGGAGGTTCTGAGCTTAGCCCCTTGCTGTGCCGAAAAAAATCAAACTGCAGGTACGTCAGGGTGATCAGCCCTCATATCCCATCCAAGACCGTATCTTCGTTGCACACGGTGGGTCAAGGATGCCGTGTGCCCCTGCATTATTATTATTAAGAAAGGGAGAGGAAAGAAGAAAGAAAAAGAGAGAGGTTTTACATCTTTTAGATGTTACACACACTAGACAAGAATGGATCATTATATGATCCGGTAGGAACTGAATCCTGAAACATGCAAACCAGCCTAGATCGTTAGATTAATAAAGGAGCCACATGAGGTACTTCTCGAAAACGATGTAGGGCATCCAATATTGTCAAACGTAGTTTTAATCAGAGTCCATAGAGTTTTGACCAGTATGTTGAGAATCCAAAATAATGTTTCGGCGATTGTTTCCCAAAATGACCCAAAGTTCGTCGGCGACATGATCTCGGCGAAAATATGTCAAAAAAACATAATACTGTCGGCGACATGGTTTCGGCGAAAATCTGAGGAAGGTTCTGATGCATGCAATACAGATTGTGGCAACCGTGTAGATTCGAAGCAACGCAGTGTAACAGCTTGGTCAACAGTTCAAACTGAGTTTTGCAGGTACAAGTGGTTGATCAGACCACTCATCCACCGAAATGCCATAGCTTCGTTGGACTGGATAGGCAAATCGGCTCCAGTCCCCCTGCAAATGTGAAAAGATTCCCTGCAAATGTGAAAAGGTTCGAATCAAAGAAGTTTTACATCTGTTCAGATGTTACACACACACACCCCGCGTGTAGCGGGGTTTGATTTTTTGGAAGACCATCGCTGCAAATGTCGGCAAGATTATTCAAATACAAAAAGCTTTCCGGTGCTAATGTACAGAGCCGCGTTCAGTCACTCAGAAGGGAGGTTCGTCTCAGCTTGAAGTGTTTGGATCGCGTCACGGAAGCTCATGTCCTCAAGCATCCTCCACGTGTCGTTGATTTCCCCAGATGCCATAGCAGCCCTCAAAGTGATTGAAAGTTGTTGGGCCAGGTCCTGGATCTTCGGAGTAAAGCGGGTTGCCTCCGTAGGTGCCGTGGTCTCAATGGGAACATTGTGAAAAGGATGATGTCCATGTACTAGAGGAATCTCAAAATGATGTCGCCAATAATCCGCTGTGCGCAGTGACCACTCCCAGTTGCCCGAAAGACCGTAAAAGTAGTGCTCAGGATCACGACATTTGGAAAGCCCTGACAAGGGGATCTCTTCAATGAATAGCTCCCTGGTATTGTTGGAGTGGGTAATGATCTTGAATTGGATCTGGTGAACCACGCGGGAAGAGAAGTGAGCACGATGGAGGTAGTGGTATGTAGGACTTTGCTCCGTCGGAAAAGGGACATCAGGAGGTGCGAAGCCTGAATATGTATCAGAATGGGCCGTAGTTCCAATGTCGGTAGTTGTACTGTCAGCTGCCAAAGGTGCCGAAGTGGTCCCGGTAGTAGGGTCAGGAAGACCAGAATGACATAGTGCAGAAGCCTGGGCGTCTGGTGCTTGATCTGGGTTGGTGGGAGCGAGTCCACGGTTGGGATTCGAAGGCCAAGCCAAGCCCGCCACGGTAGCGTCTCGTTTATGCTCCATGGGTGAAACGATCAGAAATGCGTGAAATGGTGCGACAAAAGCTGAGGCATCATGAAATTGCGAACATAAGCCAAGCCCGAGAATAATAATAATGATAATGATGATAAAAGTGAAGTCCAGTCATCAATCAAGTGGTTCAAGGTCCACGGAAAGGACATAGCTCAAAGCCTAACAAGATGGAAATCAAAGAATCCTTCGTGTTGATAAAGTGTCATAGGTATAACGAAAAACCCTCGAGCATGGTCTTTTTTGGCCAGTGAGCGTATCAGGGCAGGATCACACCGGGGCTAACTTTGTGGCATCGCAGACGTAGCACGAAAGGCTGTGAGGTACCCGGGATGAGCAAAGAGGATTCGAAGTAGTTGTACTGTCGGAGTCGCCATTCGGGTCGGTATTCCTCCAAAAGCTGCAAGATCGTCATATCATTCCCAGAGTACGCCTTATTGAAAAGATTCAATAATTCACGTCAATTTCAATAATCACAACACAAACCAATAAAACCTTCATTTTCTTATTGGTTAGTGTTTCAATAACTTTATTGAAATGAACCAATAAAGCTTATTGAAATGGATTCCTATTTCAATAAGCTCCATTTCAATAAGTTTAATGGTTTGAGTCATTAGATTCATAGAGCTGCTAAGCTGACATGTTTGAAGCTCTGCACATGGGTGTCAAACTGACATGCTGAAACATCTTCAGTTCAGCTGCACTTTTTTCCTTTGACTGTGCAAATCTTGGTCCCCAAGCTAGTGGGCTGCAGCCCTTTGGCAGGACTTTGAAGCCCTTTTGCAGGGCCAGGGTGGGGCCCTTTCCCAAGGCCCAAAGCTTTTTTACACAACTTCTACTCACCACTGCTGCTCTCAGACTCCAAAGTTTCTGATCCATGGATGTATTTCAGCCACATTCCCAACCTGAACCTCCACAGGACTTTTTCAGGTACCAAGTGGGGAGGACTTCCATTCAGACAGGCATGGGCCAGGCTGGCCATAAATCCCACCATTGTTTCACCTGAGTATGTTGAGACCAGCTTTGGGTTCAAATAGGCAGCTTGAGCAGGCATGTGGGCAACAAGGTGGTGCTTGTGGATCAGGTTCCATTGGAGCAACCCAGCTTCCATAGCCAGCTTTGCACACCTTGCAAAGTGAAGAAGACACAGGTCTGTAACTTTTTTGAACTGCAAGATGCTCTCCTTGCCCATGTGAAGGCCACAGTCCATGAGCTCATACATGCTGTTCAAGTTCTGTAAGCATTGGAGCCTATGGAGGCTATAGGCATCATCCTCATCAGTGTAGAACTGCAGAATCTCTGCCATCACAGGCACAAGGTAGCGAATCTGCTTTGCCTTGAATCCTGTTAAATCAGGAAACTTTTCATACTTCTTCTCCCTGGCTGAAAAATTTGTGAGGCTCAATTTTTTAATCCTGTGGCTGGCATCTATGCCTTGTTCCAAGTACTGTTGCCTGATCTGCCTGTAGACAGCCTGGAGGTTTTGATCCTGGGTCCCAGCTCCAGCATGGCCTCTCACAACTAGGTCAAAGAAGGTGTTGGCCAGGGCATGTGCTGCCACCCCTTCTTCCAGGCAGTGCAAAGTATCATAGTGGACACTGAATGTATTCAGGCCAGGTACTGCACCAAGAGGATGGCCACCAGGAAGAGGTGTCCCAGGCTTGGTCAAGGTAGATCTCCACTTTGCTGTAGCTCTAAAGTCATTGTGAGGTATGTCGCTCTTGTTTGCTTGGCAAGAAAAGCAGCAGGAGTTGTGGCTGTGCCCAGGCAGCTTGAGTTCATTTTGCAGGAACTCCCCATCTGCAGTGACACAGAACAAGCAGCCTCTGACCCTCTGTGTCCACAGATGGGAGCCACTTTGGTCTGCCCTCTTTGTTTTTGCAGGCCATGGTTTCCCCAAATGGTCAAATTCTGGAAATTTGCCATAATAGAGATGCTGGAATGACCAAGCAAGCACTTTCCAAACCACTGTCATGGTGTCTTCATCTGGGTTTTCACTCTTGTGCTGGCAGCCCTTGGGGATAGCTGCTAGGAGCATTTGGCTGGATGCAACATTGTCAGCTGATAGGAGTGATCTCATTGAGATGATAGTGATTGAATCCCACTTTTGAAATTGACCACCATCCCCATGAATGACCAGAGGCAGGTACAGGTGCCTGCTGCCCTTCATGGGATTCTTGCACAGCTTTGGATCAGCAGCATCATGCTCATCCCAAAAGCTCTGCAACCCAGAAAAGCCAGAAACATTGTCATGATGTTCCACCCAAGAGAACCACTCATGGGGCAAGAACACTGCCAAAGTCTGATTTGCTAGGTACCAGCTGTCTGTGCCTTTCTTCAAGACTGGAGCTTCAAAGCAGTAAGGCACAGGGAGGTCCAAGGAATCATTTTTGCAAAACCTTGAAGTGATTTGTCCTGCCACATGGTTTTCATTCCTGCCAAAGTTTCCCAGGCTGGCCAAGACTTGGATGTCATCTGTTGCAGCACCAGACTTCACAGCAGCCAAAGCAAGGTGTTGAACAGAAGGGCCCTTAGATGGCAACAGGTTCATCCACAACAGTGTGGCAAAATGCTGGTGTCAAAAGGGAGTGGGCAGCTGAAGGTTTCTGCCACTGCATCATGGGGCAAATTAAGCCAAGACTAGAAACAGACATCCCATGTGCAAATTGCTCCAGAAGTCCTAGGCCAAGAGGGCTCAAATGCTCCTCTGCAGTGGGCTCCTCAGGGACATCATGCTTCTTTCTCTTCCATTTGGCCATATTCCCCAAGCCCTTGTTCAGGGCCAGCAGGCTAACCCAGGCCCTTTTGCAAGACCCACAAAAGCCACTGCCCAACAAAAGCTTCTAGGGAAGGGGCCATCTTGAAGCCAAAAGCTTACCACAAACAAGCAAGTGTGTTCCATGTGCTAAAGCTTGGCCATGCAACAGTAGCCCATGGCTTTGGGCCCACAGCTTTACAAGGCAAAGGTGAGGTGGAAGCATTTTTTACCTTCTCATGCCTGCTGTCATGTGCCACATGGTCATGTGCCTTCTGGCAGAGCTACCAAACATAGCCCTTTGGCAAGGCCAACACTGACTCTTTGTCAGGCCCTTGCACAAGACCAAGCTAACAATATCTGTTTAGCCCTTTTGCAAGGCCACCCAAAAATAATAACTCACTTCCTCTTGGCCTTCTTGATCTGCAGGGCAGCATCAAACAGCTTCCCTTTGGCTTCTTCCAGGCTGACCTTTTTCCCTTTCTTGTCCAGCTTCTGAAGGTCAGCCAGGCACAGGTCCAAAGACTTAGCCTTTGCTGCACCAACCTCCTTCTTCACTCCTTTCAGGAGCTTCATCATTCTCTTCACCCTCACTTGGGCCTCTTCCTTAGCAACTTTGCTTCCCATCTCAGAGAGAAGGTCAGCTTCCACCACCTGATCATCCTCATCTTTCTTAGGGCTGGCTGCTGCCTCTTCTTCACTTGCTTGCCCAGACTGCTTGTCCATGATTGCCAACTTGCTTTTGTCTTTGCTCAGCACATCCTCCAAAGCTTTGGCAGCCTTGGAGCTTGCAGCAGGCCCTTCCCCATCTGCCAGAAGGCCTTGGGCTTTGAGCTCCAGCCACTGACAGGCTTCTCCTTTGGCCTTTGCTTCACCTTTTAGTTCATGCTGGCTTTTCTCTTCAGTCCATGTGATTATTTTCCGCAAGGTGAACTGCCACTCAGCAGGGTCAGCAGGGTCTTTTCTGACACCTATGCTGCCTCTCTTTACCTGACAAGGCAAGCTAATTTCACCAAAAAAAACATGTTTGCACCAGCTTTCAGCACAAACCTTAAACATGCCAAGCTGCCCTTCTCATGCACTCATGGAGGCCAAACCGCTGCAGCACCACAGCAAAAGGCACCCACTCCTCTGAGCTCCTTTCACCTTAGAAAAAACATTGCAGGGTGCAGAAGCACAGACCCAGCCAGGTGGAAGGAGCAGCCACAAGCAACCAAGGCACCAGAGCTTTTGGTGTAAGACACCAGCTCCTGGAGGTACACCTCCCTTTTCCCCTTCAGGTCTCCTCCCAGCTTCAAGAAGCAGCACAAAAGCTTCTTCTTTGCTGGGTCACTGCCTTTTCCTTTGGCCACTTCCTGCCATAGGCTATCACACTCCTTGTCCTTCATGCTGGCTCTGGCAGAGGAGAACCTCTGCCACAGTGCTTCCCTCTGACCTTTTGTCAGGGTGTCCAGGAACTGCCCCACATCCTGGTTGCCTTTCTTCTGAAAGGCAGCCATCTTGTCTTCCAAGCTCATTCCCTCTCCTTCATCTTTCTTCAGCTGGTCTAAGGCACTTGCAGGCCTTTTTAACTTCAAGTTCAGCACCTTCATGACCTTTTTGGGTGCCATCTTGGGTAGCCCTCTCTCAAGGCCAAAAAAACCTTGCCAAAGAGCCCTTTGGCAAGGCCCAATCTACCAGTTTGTTTTGGGTGTCTCCAAGCCTAAATGCTGCTGAACAGAAGTTTCCTCAGTGGTGGCCATGAAACATGGCAGTGGCAACACTCTCATGGCAGCATTTTGTTGGGAGGCAAGTTTTCACCAGAAAGTGGAGGAAAGACACTAGCCTCATATGATCTCATATGAGCTCATATGAGGCAAGCTGCCCTCATATGAGGTAGTCTTGCCTCATATGAGACAGTTTTTGCCTCATATGAGGTGCCTTCACCTCATATGATCTCATATGAGCTCATATGAGGTTTTTGCTTTTCCAAACCAAGCCCAACCCAAGCTGATGGCATATTTTCCAGAAGGGCATGTTTGCTGTGCTCTGTTTTGGGTGCCCTTTTTCAAGACAGCTGATGCCAGCCCTTTTGCAGGACCCAATGCTGGCCAAGCCCTTTTTGCAGGGCCTAAAGTGGGTGAAACTCCCTCACTTCTTTTGCTTTCTTCCCTTGGGCTTCACCTCATGCCAGCCATCAGAGGACTCCTCATCCTTCACTTCAATCCCATCCAGTGCCCCTGCAGCTTCAGCCCTCTTGCCATGCAGGTCAGCTGGTGGGTGTGTTGCCCTCTTTGGCCTGGCAGTCTTGCCTTGGCCTTTTCTCCCAGGCTGTGCTGGGGCTGGCCCCTGGGATCCTGGCAAGGTTGCCAGGAGGAAATTGGGTGAAAATAGTGAAGATGGTGAGAAGGGTGATGCTACAACATATCCAAACATTTTACTGTAGTGTGTGTGTGGCATACCAAGAACTGCACTTATGAACACATATGGTGCATTTACAGTGGTTAAATTCCAAATGTTGGCTGTGGCTGACAGAATGCATGGGTGCCCCAAATGGCAGGTGCCAAACAAATATGTTGCAGTGGTTGGTGTCCATAGAAGTGTGTGCAGCATCACAAATTCAAAGGCCCAATGATGTATGTAGATGCACCTATGAAATTGCCATAGTGACATGCATGAGAAATTAATTTCTATATAGAGGTGTTTGGATGCTGTGGTGGCCCCCCTCCTCCTTTTGCACCAGCACCAGCTGCAGCACTGCCAGTGGCCACTGGTCCTGTAATGCCACAAAGACATAGCCAGCAAACATGTGGAAAGGAGTAGGGTTGCAAAAAATCAAGAATGTGTACACACCAGTCCTGGCTGGTGCCTGTGTGGCTTTGGCTGCTTGGGCTGCTCCACAGGCTGCTCCATGGTCTGGTGGTGCCAGCCCCATTGGTGTGGCTGGCCACCTTGACCTTGGTAGTAGGCATGGTGGTGCCACATGGCTTGGGCTTCCACCAGCTGGGCCTGCTGCATCTGCCATTGTTGCCATTGGGCAGATGCAGCTGCAGCCTGGGCAGCTTGGGCAGCAGCTGCAGCATTTGCTGCTGCTGCCTGTGCCAGCTGGGCTGCTTCCAGCTTGTTTTTCCTGTCTTCTTGCCTGTCCAGGAGCCTTTTCAGCCTGCATGCTCCCAAGGCACCCAGCTTCAGCTTCTCCTTTTCCTCTTGGCTCTCATTCTTGCAGGTTTTCATGAGCCACCTTCTCTTGGCCCTTTCTTTCTGTGAGCCACATTTGTTTTTCTTCTGGGTGCTGCTGGAAGGCACTTCCTCCTCTTCTGTATCCTCACCATCTGGTTCCCACCTCTTGTTTTTGGACCATGCTTGCCATTGCTCCTCTTTTTCTTCCCACCAGTCATCCCACTTTTTACCACCTTTTTTCCAGTCCTCCTCCCACCATTCATTTTTCTGCTCATGCTTGCCATCCTTTTTGGCAGGCTCCTTCTTTTCTTCTGCAGCCAGGTCAGCCCAAGACTTCCTGTTCCTTCTTGGAACTTGCTCAGCCTCCCAGTCTGGCTCCTCTTTTGGTTCCATTGCCAGCCCTTTTGCAGGACCTTCCAAGTCCAAGCCCCTTTCCAAGGCCTGTAGTGGGAGCCCTTGTACAAGGCCCAGTTGCTGTGTGCAGAAGCCAGGCCCCTGCAGGGCCCAGCACAAGACTAAGGCGATGACTTGGGCCATACACTTCAGATTGCAGTTTGTGTAGCTGTGTTGGATTCACACTGGTGCTGCTTGGTCCCCCCACAATCCCACAAGTAACATGCTCCAGCTTGGCATTTTTTTGCTGGGACACAGCAGTTCTCTGTCTAAGCCCTTTTGCAAGGCCCAACTGCAGACAGCTGCAGGACCTACTTGGCAAACTTGCTGAGGAGCTTTGCCCTCTCAGCAACTACATCAGCCTTTGTGGCCTTTGCCTTCTTGCAGGCAGGGAGCAAAAGTTCCACCAATTCCTTGTGTGTCTTGGTTGTGTTGCTAGCCTGAAGCTTTGTGATCCCTATGATTAATCTCTTGCTGTCTCCTGGCCCAGGGACATGTTGTATGTAGGCTTGGTTTTTGCCCCCTCCAATGGAAAGGCTAGCCTGGTGAATGAGCACTTTTTCAGTGCCCTTGCACTTGCTAGGCCCTTTTCCAGGGCCTGTCTTTGCTTTAGGCCCTTTTGCAAGGCCTGCAACACTCACCTTCCCCTTCTTCTTGCCCACCAGCTTGGAGGCAGGCTTCTTTATGTTGCAGCCTGCTGCAGCTCTCCAGTCCTTTTTCACCACAGGTGGTGGGGAACTTTCCATGGCATCCAGGTCGCTTTTTTTGGCCTTCTTTGTCACAGCCTCCTTCTCATCCTCATCTTCCTTCTCTGTCTCATCATATTCCTCTTCTTCTTCTTCTTCTTCTGACTCCTCCTCCTCCTCTTTTCCATGGGCTGTCATGGCTGGGAAGCCCTTGGAGTCCATGCTCACATCTGACACATTTGGCAGCAGCTTTCTCTTTGGCTTCTCAATCACCATCTTCTTTTTCACCTGCTCCATCAGCTGGCATTGGCTTTCATCCAGCTTGGAGCAAAACCTTTGCCATGCTGTGGGGGAAGCAGTGCACCTTCTCCAGTGGTTTAGAACCACAAGCAGTGCATCTGCTGCCCTCCCTGCCAGCAAGCCCTTCTCACATGTCCAGTGTGCAGACAGCAGCTCACAGCCCCATGTCTGCTGCAAGTACACCATGCTGTGCTTCAGGTACCTGTACTTCACCTTTGCAGAAGGTGACACCTCCACCAGGGCAGTCAAGAGCTTGCTGAGCTTGCACAGGCTCCTGCAAGATTCTGCCTGTTGTGGCTCCAGCCTCAAATATTCATGCAAATTCAAGGCTTCTTTGATCCCCATTGCCCGAGTATAAGCATAAAGTTTGTCATCCAGTTTTTGCTGGCTTAACTCAGGGAATGGGACCCTCTTAGCAGGTTGTGAATTTCCTGCACCTTTCCTTCTTTTCCTCCCAGGTTTCATGAGGGACATGGGCAGCCCTCTTTGCAGGGCCAGCTGCAGATAGCCCTCTTTGCAGGGCCAATCTTCCAACAGGCAAGGCTTTGAAGCTGCTGAGATTGAGCATAACTGCAACAGAGAGATTCAAGTTTATAGGGCATGCTGCAAACACATTTGCATCTGCCAAGCCCATGGCAAAAGAAGCAGCCTGCAACACCATACATCCCCACTGCTCTCCATTTTTTCTCCTTCATTGGTGTCTTCTCCATGTGTATGGTCATTTTTAAGACTTTTTGCTTCAGCCCTTTTGCAGGACCATTGGCTTCAGCCCTTTTGCAAGACCTTAAGGTGGCACTGTCTTTTTGCAAGTGGTCACCTTCTTGTGTCCACAGTATCTCCCAGCCTGGTCCTTCTTTTGGCCACTGGGTTCCAGTGACTGAACCCAAACTGCAAGTATGCTTCCCTCCAAGAAGCATTGCAGTGGTAGCACTTCAAACCCCATGTGGGATCTGCCAAGTGCCTCCTCCACAGCCATCCACCACAGTGAGGTGTTGTGCACTCCAGGTAGGACCAGTAGGCATCCACCTCTTCAAAGCTGTTGCGAGGAGGCCTGATGAGCATGTCCAAGGGGTCAATCTCTGTGGCCATGGCTCTTAGAAATTGCCCTTTTGCAGGACCAAAAAAAAGCCCTTTTGCAGGACCAAAAGCCAAATACCCTTTTGCAGGGGACAGTTGGGCAGTGACCTTGCCCAAGCTTGCCCCTATAGCTTGTGAGTTGAAAGGCTGCTGGTGGAATTGAACATGAGTGAAACACAAATATAAATATATACTTGTGGATGGGTTGTAGGTTCCATTCATGATTAGTGGATTGGAATGGGGTCTAAACCTAAAACTTTCTGTGAAACAGCACAAACACCCTTATTGAAACTATTGAAACAAAGTAGTAAAGTTATTGAAACAAACCAATAACCCTTATTGAAACAAACCAATAAAGTTATTGAAACAAACCAATAATTTTATTGAAACACAAACCAATAATATTATTGGTTTGTTTCAATAAAAACACTATTTCAATAATGGCATGACAAACCAATAACTTTATTGAATCTTTTCAATAAGGCGTACTCTGGGTTGGGGACTTGGAATGTATCACCTTCCAGGTCGCAATAGCGAAACTCCAAATTCGAAGGGTCAAGCTGGATGTCCCATTGGGTCCTCAATCTTTTTGCAATACAGAAACGTAGTTCTCCAGTGGGAAGGAGGCCGGCTTCAACTGGTTCCATCTGACGTGACCAGGTGAACAGAGCTTCAAGTTCGTAGCCACTAACATTTTTGAGATTTGAACTAGCCAAAGCCATGTAGTGTTCACGGTCAGGTTCGCTGCGATGAGTCAGTTCCTGTAAGGGAGAGTAGTCAATCAAAATAAGGACAGGTCGGTTTGGAGGAGGGTTCACGTGACCAGGAAGGCCTCGGGGTCCAGCAAACCATCCAACGGTTCGGGTACCCAGTGGTGTCTCAACCGTGGATGTAGCGCGATATGGATGGGGCCGAGAAGAATGAGCCATGGCGTCGAGTGTCGAGTTTCGAGTATAAAGCGGAAAGCCCAAGCTGCAACATAGAAGGACAATGACCAAGGAATAAAGCCCAAAAATTGGAAAATGGAGGGAAACGGTGTACCTAGTGAGTAGTCACAAATCGACGTGTAGTCACTGTGCTTTTTCGATGCCGACAAATGATGTGGTGTATTACACACTGGAGTCAGACATGTCCATCGGGCCCGTATCGTTCGCATCCAGTGGACCATGTACTTGTTGAGGAGGGACGGTAGGGCGATTGAGATGTAAGGTACGTTGCAATGTTGCCGGTGGTGAAGAAGGTGGTGTAGACCGCCATGGTGGCCAATATAAAGAGGTGGTGGTTCCTTGAGAGTGGTGTTGGGCAGAACGTCCCCAGCATGACTATAAAATATGGAGTTGGTCCGGTATCGCTTCGTACGGTTGGGAGACATAGACGTTGGAGTGTTCAGGGTGTGGTAGAACAGGAACAGCAGTTGCCGTAGGGGAGGAGGATGATTGGATTGGTACGTCATAGTATCGGCGCCAATGGTTAGCCGTGGTACGTAGGGTAGCACGATCGTTGGTGAGGTGCATGTTCTCCAGAAATGTTTCCACTGGCTTCCACGTTTCAATACCATCAAGTGTCCTTTCCACGATCCAAAGTTCATCCGGACGAGTAGACAAAGGATAGCTCAGCTTCTTGATGAAGACGGAATGGACGGTTGTAGAGGTTGGGATCATTCGCGCTGCTCGGGGAATATACGATGCCGAAGTAGGATCATCAGGTGGCAGGTGTGGGACTAGGCCATGTACGGATGTAGGTGAGGAACGGTGTGAGACCAATCGAGCAGTATCATCCGTGTTGGAGGTCATCATGTACAGTAGCAATAATATGATATCGAGATACACTGAGTTGAAGCCGAAAAGCCGTGGGACAAGGTCAATGATGGAAAAACGAACAACGAACATCGCAATATGGAAAGAAGAGAAGCAAGGGAGACAAAAGAAACCCAAAACCGGGGTGGAGGACATCATAACGAGTGCTTTTTTCTTTTCTCATAGACGTGAGCGTCTCCAAGATCTATCTCAAAGGCTAATCACTCGGCCGCTTTAGTGTATCTGGTGGCCGTGATGAATGGATGCCCGCGGGGAATCACTTGAACATGGACAGCGAAGCCTGTGTCCTGTGGATCTGGATGGGGTGTCAGCAACAACGGTGAACACTCCCGGGTCGTGAAGGCATCGAGATGTTGATGAGTTTTCCATGTCGGGTAGAACCAGTTCAAAACGTCCAGGAGAGAATGAGGGAGGTCGTCAAGCATCTGAGCTCCTTGATCGGTGTCAATCATCATGTAGAAATCTGTCGCTGGTAGGTGTATCGACCATCGTTGTAACAGCGTGTCGGTAACCACGGTTTTGAGGTCTGAAACGAAATGACTGCGAGCATAATCCGGGTAGATCACCTTGAACGTCTGGAACAGGCTGTCATAGGTGGCCGTGGAGAGGTTGCCCGCGACCTTGGGGGCCAGGATGTTGTAGTATGGGTTGCGAACGGCAAGTTGCTGCATCGGCTTCAGGTCCAATTGGAAAATAACCGGTCGGTGGGGTGTCGAAGGCGGAGTCCGGTTGGGTGGGTGCTGAGATAATGAAGACCCCATAGCGGAGGACGGTGCCCTTGTTGGAGAGCGTGATCGTCGTGTAGGGGAGATCCTCTCGTGGGACATAGCTCGCAGTTGGCAATAGCGATCCGGGTGAATGCGGAGAGACATAGTAAATGGCTGGCGGGTTGTATGATATGACATGTCAACGTTGCAATGGAGCAACAATGCCCGAGTTTGTGAAGATCAAAAAATGTAAGAACGAAAAAAATCTAAAGACGAATAAAATTGGGTGGTGAAGCTATAATACAGTGCCGCAGGCCAGCTTTTCCTTGGTTCGCATATGTCGTTGGTCAGCCAAGTTTGTCTTTAATCTTATTCCACATAGAGCGAACATCTTCCTCGGACTTGCCCATCTTGGTCAAAATCACCCGCCATGAAAATCGAGACTTCTCGTCCGCCTTCAAAGTGCGTAGTTTCTGTTTGTCTTCGGAAGTCCAGAGTGACAGTGGGCTCGAGGAGCGGGATCGGGATTGGTCAAGTCGGCGACGACGTTTGGCAGGCGCTTTGGGAGCTGATTTGGCTTTCTGTTTGCGAGTCGGCGGTGATGGTGTTCTGGTAGAAAACTTCGAGGGTGCAGGTAGGACTTCAGGTGACGGAGCGGCAACGTGGTGGTGTGGTTCAGGGAGATGGGTTTCCACCAGTTCATCCATAAGTGCCTCGTCCTCCACGATATCCGGCGACGGGATGTGGGCATTGTCAATGAAGTCGTTGGTCTGGTCCGAGTAATGTGGTCGTAGCCCATCAGGTTGATTCCATACGTCTGTGCTGGGAAGAGGTGTAGGTTCAATGTTGGGAATGAGAGTGGGTGGAAGTAGCGCCATTGCTCGATGTAGTAGAAGGTAAGCATGGTGAACATCATGAAGAAATTGAAGAAACACTGGTTCTTGAATCGGAATTGACGTAGTAGGAGACGAGGAAGCCATCACGAAACGTCGAATGTGGGCCAAGAAGTAAATGAAGCCGAGTTTGAGGGTGAGCCAGCTGAGAACGCACTGCTCCAAGATCATATAAATTAACGTGTGGCCCGAATAGGTGAAACGTTCAGCAGGATGTGAATAATGAGACGTAAGCGCAAGCGGCAGGACGGTTCTGGATTTTACCACAATGAGGAAACGTGCAAATATTGACGGATCGGCTTGGCAGCAGCAGTTAAATCGGACTCGGTAAAACCTGCAGTTCTGTACAAACGGTGCAATGCGGCAAAACCTCGCGTTCGTTCGTGTGCAGGGTGCGCACATTTGGCGACCAGAAATAGTCGTGAAACAAAACCCGAAAGTTGGACGGCCAGAGGTGATGCGGAGAATGGCGCCATGACCTGGTTGAAGTCGCGCGGAGGGCTGTAGCGAAGGGCAAAGGGCTCGAACTCGATGCAAAAGCCCAAGAACTCCTGGTCCGGTTCCGTTTCCAAAATGATGGGGTGACCGTAGAACTCCGGGTGAAGGAAATTGGCGAAGCAGATTTCGTAGTCCCAGGAGGGATCCGACAAGCACAGTCTGTTGTCCACATAGCGAAGGAGGCGAGCTGTAAGATCCATGGTGCTGAGGGTGGTGCGGTAGGTTCGGTACCAGATTTCTTCAGAGAGTGCGACAACCATCATGCACAATGCTGGACTCAGTGGGGAGCCCATAGGGGATCCACGGATTTGTTCAAAAACCGTAGTGCCAATGGAAAATTGAGTCATCTGCAAAGACATAAGGATGATGCGTTCAATGTCCCGAATGAAGATCTTCCTGGTCACATTGAGTGTACGGCACGTGCGGCCTTTGACTACATCGCCTGTGGTGTTGCCCGGAGTTGCCTTCACGGAGATGATCTCGTCGGGGTCGGTACTCATGAGAGTCGAGAGGAACTGCAAGGTCAGTCGCCAGCTAGCGATGAAGCGGTCAGTGTCGATGCTTGTGAAAAAACCCGCAAGATCTTGGTTGTGTATTCGGGGAGTAGGGAGCGAATCAAAGTCGGTGTCCTTGAGGAGCTTGATGAGATCAAATACATCACCCCTTGCCAGGTTGTGGGGAAACGCTTGGGGTAGGAGGTTGTAGATCAGTTTGGCGGTACAATTCAACATAGGTCGGAAAGGTGCCGTGAAGAAGCTGACAATAGGTCGCCCGGCCTTAAACTGTTTCTTCCGTTTGGGGAGAACGTAGGCATTCGGTAGGTCTCGTCCAGCACCAAGTGCCCATGGGTATGCTTTGCCAAATTGATGATTGATCTCGGCGATGGTCTTCTCGATGATGTCACTTGGGCTGTGCTCCAATTTTCGAAATACCAACGGGTCGGCGAAGGTGGTGGTGAGGCACTGGAAGTAGAGTACGGGGCAGTAGATTCGTAGGGATGTAGCTCGCATGTCCTCGTTGTGGAAGACGGCGTCTGGAAAGAGACGTTTGAAGCGGCCGATGTCTTTATGTGTGATGTGATTGTGGAGGGTGTTGTAGTGGGACTGAATAGAGCGATGCCAAAGCTCATCAATATGGGTCTTTTGTAATGAAGGGAGTGAGTTCCGGGTAGTCCACGTCCGCAGAGCAAGGCGAAGGGATGTCTGGATTTCTTTGGAAGGTGGGAAGATTTTGTTTTGAAGCGAACCCGTCGCAATGGATGTGTGCGGGCCATCATCGAAATGTAGGTTGTCGCCGTCCAGGACCAA